CCAGTCCATAAACCTGTGTAAGCTATGACACGTGAGGAGCCTTCCCTTCCTCCAGGACAGAGCGGATTAAAGAGTAGCCGCTGATTGGTCCTGCAGGGGATCACAAGATCACTTTCAAAGGGAACCTGTCACGGGGAATCTACCATGAAAGCTGAACTCCGGGCAGAAACTTTGAAGCTCTTTTAGAATCATTATTTCTGATCGTCACTAAAAATCTTCATTTTATAGAACCCGACGCTGCAGCCGAACCCCCCCCAGGACCCCGAATAGTAACGGGCACACAGTCCCTTATTTGTGTGCGCTCCTCCTGGGCCACAGGTCATGTACCATCCCCGGTGTGGTCAGGTCAGCCCCACCCACCATGACATATTACAATGATGGACAGGTCAGGAGGATCCAGGTCTGTGCCACCCACCATGACATAACACCTTGATGGACAGGTCAGGAGGATCCAGGTCTATCCCCCACCATGACATATCACCTTGATGGACAGGTCAGGAGGATCCAGGTCTATCCCCCACCATGACATATCACCTTGATGGACAGGTCAGGAGGATCCAGGTCTGTGCCACCCAACAATGACATATCACCTTGATGGACAGGTCAGGAGGACCCAGGTCTGTGCCACCCACCATGACATATCACCTTGATGGACAGGTCAGGAGACTCCAGGTCTGTGCCACCCCCCATGACATATCACTTTGATGGACAGGTAAGGAGACTCCAGGTCTGTGCCACCCCCCATGACATATCACTTTGATGGACAGGTAAGGAGACTCCAGGTCTGTGCCACCCCCCATGACATATCACTTTGATGGACAGGTAAGGAGACTCCAGGTCTGTGCCACCCATCATGACATATCACCTTGATGGACAGGTCAGGAGGATCCAGGTCTATCCCCCACCATGACATAACACCTTGATGGACAGGTGAGGAGACTCCAGGTCTGTGCCACCCATCATGACATATCACCTTGATGGACAGGTCAGGAGGATCCAGGTCTATACCGCCCACAATGACATATCACTTTGATGGACAGGTAAGGAGGATCCAGGTCTATCCCCCACCATGACATATCACTTTGATGGACAGGTAAGGAGGATCCAGGTCTGTACCGCCCACCATGACATATCACCTTGATGGACAGGTCAGGAGACTCCAGGTCTGTGCCACCCACCATTACATATTACAATGATGGACAGGTCAGGAGACTCCAGGTCTGTGCCACCCACCATGACATATCACTTTGATGGACAGGTAAGGAGGATCCAGGTCTATCCCCCCACCATGATATATCACCTTGATGGACAGGTCAGGAGGATACAGGTCTGTACCACCCACCATGACATATAACAATGATGGACAGGTCAGGAGACTCCAGGTCTGTGCCACCCACCATGACATATCACCTTGATGGACAGGTCAGGAGGATCCAGGTCTGTACCGCCCACAATGACATATCACTTTGATGGACAGGTCAGGAGGATCCAGGTCTATCCCCCACCATGACATAACACCTTGATGGACAGGTCAGGAGACTCCAGGTCTGTGCCACCCACCATGACATATTACCTTGATGGACAGGTCAGGAGACTCCAGGTCTGTGCCACCCACCATGACATATCACTTTGATGGACAGGTCAGGAGGATCCAGGTCTATCCCCCACCATGACATAACCCCTTGATGGACAAGTCAGGAGGATCCAGGTCTATCCCCCACCATGACATAACACCAGGAAGTCATCGCATGTAAGAGAGGAAGACGTCCCAGAACACAGACTGACATCAGTGATATCCCCCGCAGTAGATCTATACAAAGGGCCTGAATGGAGAGCAGTCAGTGTCCCAGTGACCAATCAGCATCTCTTTATGTGTTCTAGCCCGCCCTTAGTACAGGAAACGGAGAAGCTGATTGGTTGCCTAGAGAAAAAGATGAAAAGTTCTGCAGCCAGATGTCCATAGAGCCCAAATCTCAGCACACAGCGCACTGTCCTCAGCTCCCGGCATCACACCATGCAGTGCTCTTCAATGGGCCCCTCAGAGACAGTAAAGGGGGCTCAGACACCCCCTGAATCATGCATACCATTCAATAGGGGGCTAAGGCCATGCATTGCATTATGGGAAGGGGTGGGCGGGGAGACTGCGTCAGGGATATGAGCGATAGAACCTCTGGTGGGCCCACAGCGTCAATCATCGGCGGCGGTCACATTCTGTAGAGGCCAATAGGAGGAGAGGCGCCATATGTGGACGGCATATTCTCTCAGATACTAACTCCTCCCCTTCCCCGACATGTCTCTCATCTCCGGGTCTGGCAGGTTTTTGGGGTCATGTATTCATCTACGCCGCTTCCACTGGACCCTCTTGCAGTCTCCCGGCTCCGGCACTTCCGCATATTATAATCACGTCTCGTGAGGTACCTCGGAGTGTTAAAGGAGAACTACGGGGTCAGTGTTTTCCCCATAGTTCTCCTGAGGGTCACTGGAGGACGTAAACTAGCGTCCTCCCGTGACCCGAAGCTCAGTATATAGGGAGCTACAGCTCGCGGTATACCGAGACGCCGCAGCCGGGACATTACTGTCTGGATCCGCCCAGCTGCGTGAGTGACAGCTGGCTGCGCCTATCTAGAGACAGCTGTACCCGCCCCCTCCCCCGTCCCTTCCTCCAACCTGCTGGATTCCCTTCCCCTTTGTCCAGTTGCTCCGATCTTCAGATATCTTATATGGAGAAGGAAATCCTCGAGGATCAAACTGCAATATTTACAGTACCTGAAAATCTATGGGGGACCCCCAGCCCTGAACCCCGGGGTTTCCTTCATTGCTGCGCAATATAGAGCTGGCTGGGGGCGGTATGACCACCGTACCTCGCTTTGTCTGATTATATCCTCCGTGTGCCCCCGACATGCCCGACTACTTAGAAGGCCATCAGGGGCGTAACTAGAAATCACAGGTGGCAACATTTTGTACGGGGGCCCTGTGATTTCTAGTTACGCCCCTTGCAGAGCCCACCTGAGATCCCAAACAGCTCACCTGAGAGTGACCCTGCAGAGCCCACCATATAGTCTCTATGGTGGGCTCTGCAGGGTCTCAGGTGGGCTGGTCACACCCCTTACCTGTCAGCCCCGATCCGCTGTCCGCCTTCTCCTCCCCCACAGGGCCCCACCTCCTCTTCCACCCCCGGACCCCTCCTCCTCTTCCGTCGCCGAGTCCCGCCTCCTCCTCCGCTGCCGACGCCGGGCCCAGCATCCTCCGCCGCGGCTGTCACTTGCACCACAGCGGCCACGGGG